CACACCCCATGTCAGCTCTCTATGTATTTTTTCCTGATTTGTTTTCTTTTTAAGGACTTTTACTTCTTTTGTCCTCCATGTATCCAGTTTCTTCTTTTAAGGACACACTACACACCAACTTTCTAGCCAATAGCTCTTTGGGAAACCTTCTTGCTGGCGCCTCATGTCTGTCAGACTATTTAAGCTTTTGGCAAATTAAACTACAGAAATAAGACGAGTTGACAAGGTTCTAAAAACAAAGTACCTAAAGATAGATTTTAAAACTGGTTCCTTGACAAGTTTCAGTCAGGTGCGTTTGTTTGAATTATTGAAAAAATTCTGCTTCTGTCGAAGATAAATTTAAAGAAGTAAGAGCTGGCTCAAGACTTTTGCACACTACTGTAGCTACCAACAAACATGTGTTGGATAATATTTGATATATTCTAAAACACAGAACACATTTTTTTTTATACTTTCTTTTAAAGAGCTGTTTGATCAGCTTAAAGCTGAGAGCACATCCAAAACCTGATTTTTTTTGTCTGTCTACTGATGGTGAAGATGCCAGTGAGATTATAGAGAGATAAATCAGTTATAGCAAAAAACAAACGATTGTGATCCCCAAATGTGGGGGCTTATCTCCCCACCACCACACTCCCTGCCATTGGCTGATGCCCTCTGACGTCAGTGCGTAGGTGGTTCTCGGTGTCCGAGGCTGGGTGCTCAGGTATGTACTGGCACACTCCCAGTGGCTGCTCGGTGGGGCCTGGCACCCATGGCACGGCCAGGCCCCTTGCAGAGAGTGGAGGGTCCCCGGCTCTCAGGTCTCTGAATCCAAGGACTCAGTCTGTTCTGGCCAGCCGCTGGTGGAGCCTGTGGGCATGTCTCCCCAGCCCCCTGTGGATTCTGCACCATGGCTGCTGGGTGCCCCCCCACTCCCCACGCTGTCAAGGGCTCTCCTCAGCTCTTTTCTAGGAGGGTGGTGAGGCTGCCTCTCCAGTGCTCCTCCTTTGGCTCTCATCATTTCTGATTTCACTATATTTTGCTGTCAGCTTGGATAAACCTCTGCACACTTCATCCATAATAGAACATGCTGCTCTACAGTAGAGGATATATTGAACACTGTAGATTTTCCTTCTTCTAGCTGTACTGACTGACCTTTGACCTCATGTGTTGATGACTCTTCACCTCTGTCTCCTCTCACAGGGAGAAGATGATCTGCAGGATCCTGCTGCTCATCATCCTCACCTCATGTGTCTCTGGTTAGTTTACAGCTTCACTTTATGAACTCCAAATAAAGCTCAACAACAGATTTGTTCCAGTTCTCAGTGTGTCTGCTCCTCTCTTTCCCTCTCTGTCTCCTCAACAGGATCATTTGTAGTCAATGTGACACAGACCTGCTATCAGGCAGAGGAGAACCACAACATCACACTGGAGTGGACGTTCACCACCAACCCTGACAGATCCACCAAAACTCTTAACATCCTCTGTGAACTTTTTATCAGTCGTATATCCTCAGTCTTGTATCAGGTTCATGAAGGTGTTGAGGTGTCAGAATCTCAGGGTGAAAAGTTTTCAGGACGAGTCCAGAGTGACAAAGACGCCCTCAGAGAAGGACGAATCAGACTGCAACTGTCCAGACTCAGGACTGATGACTCGGGTCTGTACCTGTGTGAGGTGAACACTGATAATGGCTTCGGCTCTGCCAGCTCTCGACTCAACGTCACTGGTATGTTAATTTAGCTGAAGTTAATCTAGTTTCTCTTATTACGATGGTGTTCACTGTTCGATCCACTGAATTGTTAAAACAGACCATAGACTGTGTATGAAAGATGTCCATAGCTTCTGGGCCTGAACAATGAAGTCAACGTCAAAAGACTTCAATTCTTTTTTTAGTGAATAGCAGGGTGTGGTTGCAAAGCACCTCCATTAATCTGTGATCTCAGTAACCACTCTCCCCTTTCATTTTTCTTTTTTTCCCCTTTTTAACTGAAATGAGACCACAACTGAGGCCATGATACTTAAACCCAGTAGTTCTAATGGTTTTCTAAAATGGGACCTGTGACCACTGGTTCCTTGTGTCAAAAACCTCGACATAATACGATGGACTTTAACTTAAAATTGAATAAAAAAATTAATTTTGTTATAAAATTGGGTTTTTACTAACCAATACTTCTTTCTAAGGTCAATCCCTTCTTATCTTTTACTCATTTTCTACAGTTCTACATGTTTTTATTACATTATGACTTGACTGTTACACTGCTGTATATTTTGGTGTGAATCATGTTTCCCTTTCATGCCATCAGTTGGTCCAAAATTTGAAAGCTGGCCTTCTTACTAGAACTCAGAAACTGGAGCCTCCTGTCTCCTGGCCTCCATTCACTGGCTTCCTGTGACTTTTAGGACTGATTTTAAAATGTTTTCTCTTTTTAAAAATCCCTTAATCTCCTAACATCACATGTTCCTTCAAGCTCTCTGACATCTGCTCACCAGTTACTCCTCACTGTCCTATTTGTCAACCATTTAGTTATATTTATTGATGTGAGGCATCTTTCCTTTTTATTATACAACACTTTGGTCAGTCCTGTAGTTTTAAATGTGCTTTATAAATAAAATTGGATTGGAAACATCTCTGCTCTAGGGTTAGGCTCAGTTTACACAAACTAAAAGCAAAGAAGAACTTTAGTATAAAAGGCAGCACAGAAACACAATTCCAATGACTAAAGTGTGATTGAGTGGACAGCCTACAGCCCACATCCACAGTGTCCCACTGCCCACAGTCTTCATGTGATCAGAGGTGCAATCACTAAATGGAAGAAACAGACGGCTGTTTCTCTCAGAGTTCGAATACCTTCAACCTGCAGACATCAGTCGGCTGCTCTAACCTCAGACTGTTTCACCAGTTAAACACAATTTTTTATCTGTTAGTCTAAACACAGCAGAGTAGATCTGCTGCTGAACTCAAACCGAATAAAACAACAGGTTCATTTCATTCATGTTCAGGTTTCCTCAGTTTCTCACTCAGATTCACCTCCTGCTCATCACATGCAAACATCAAGATGACCATGACAAAACAATACTAATCATGGCTTCATTAAACAATGTAGGACGCTATGGTGACTGACTCCATCTTTTATATACAGTCTATGAAGTAGCCCTGATGTAGTTTACCTGCAGAGTCATGTTGATCTATACGTAAAATTATGACCAGAGTAACTCTGTGTAACCGACATTTTACTTCAATCAATCAATGATACATATTTTCATGTCATTTACAGCAGCTGATCAGCTCCACCCTCAGAGACCGACAACAGCAGAAAGTGGAGGCATGAGCGGTTTCTATAGTTTAATGGGAGTGTTGGCAGCTCTGCTGGGACTGCTTGTAATATTCTTAGTTGTTTTCAGAAATAAAGCCAGGAGACAAAACCCTGTTACTCTGTTACTCTGAGTTAATGAGTTTACAGTTACTCTACTGTAAACTAATTATCACCAGATGACAGTGTTGGATTACATTCATCCATGTGGTGATGTAGCAGCTGTAGAGTTAGGAGTTGGTTTAACACAGAAATGAGTGAACTAGTTTCAACAGATTGTTTTATAAACCCACATAATCTTTAACATTAATGTAAAAGTTGTTTATTGTTGTTTATTTTTTCACACACAGCATACAAAGTGTGTAAAACCTCAGGCTACAGTTTATTCCTGTGCTGTGTGAATACCTCCAGTAAGTAAAGCAATGACTGGACTCATCTGATCGACTGCTGTGTGTCCTCAGAGACGCCTCATTGTATCCAGTCCCACCAGTAATCACTGCTCAGCATAATCCCAACTTCAGCTCCATCAGCTCACAGAAATAGTCCAACCACAGTAAAGAGGACTTATTGTTTACCGTGTTTAATAAATGTCAACACCAGATTCAGTCTCTGCAGCTTTATTTTCATGCTGCTCTGAAACTCTGAAGGAAAGTTTACAGTCTAGATCTCCATGATGTAACAGGACTGTTTAACCTGAGCTGCTCATCGTTCTTCAAAGCTCTCTGAGCTTCTACAGGATGGCAGGAAAAATAAACAGTAACTATGTTGCTGAAGCAATGAGGGGCTGAAACCACACACTCAGTAACTGATGCTGAAAATAAAGTCTGACTACAGAAAGTAAAAACATGTTTGTCTTTTTAATAAAGGTGGAATAAACCCAGACAGGACTGAGCCCTGATGTTAATAAAGTTGTTTTGTGTGTTGATTATAAACTATTTTTTGTTTTTCCACTTGTTTAAAAATAAATAAATGAAAACACAAAAATAAGAACTTCTCTAATACAAATGATTTTATTTACAATGTAAACATTATTACAGCAGTGATATGTCTGCATAAACATTTTCCTTGTACGCATCACATATCTTACTTATTTTAATGATAAAACGTTAAACGGTAACCCTCTCAATCAGCTGTTACAGTCTTTAGTATTCATGGAGGTGAGAGATGAAGCTGAAACTTGTAATGCAGCAACAGGATGGGACACAGAAGAAAAAGTCTGTTCAAAGATTTCTCATTTTTTAGTAAAACAAAAATCATTGTTTACACTAATGTTATTTATCACTCCTGTAAAAGCTTCAATAAATAGGAACTTAATTAATAGATTATATTTTTTTCATAATTTGCTTTCTGGAACTTAAACACATGTTGAAGAGTTTGTTGGTTAAATTTGTGACTCGGGTCTTTATTTAAAGCTCAAATAATTTGGGCTCAAACTGATCCTCCAAAAAAAGTCCTCTAAGTGGTGATTGGTTTAATTTCTGAAACTCTCGTCAGTGTTTGTTTCCTTTTTTTTATGCCAACTAAACAGCAGAGCGCAGATGACCACTAGAGCTAGTAGTGGTAATACCAGTGACAGTCCAACACCACGCTGGCTTTCTCTGCTCTCTGGTTGTCACAGTCTCACAGTCTGAAGGTTGGACGAATGAAAAACTGCTAAAAACAAACAGACCAAGCCCAAAATAACAGGTTTTGTTTTAACTTGAATTGAATAATGTTTGCAAAGTGTTAAAAAAATATCTTACCAGTGACATTGAGTCCACATCTTCCAACACCGAAGCCATAATCAGTGTTGACCTCACACAGGTACAGACCCGAGTCATCAGTCCTGAGTCTGGACAGCTGAAGTCTGATTCGTCCTTCTCTGAGGGCGTCTTTGTCACTCTGGACTCGTCCTGAAAACTCTGCATCCTGAGACTCTGACACCTCAACACCTTCATGAACATGATACAGGACCGAGACTTCATCACTGATAAAGAGTTCACAAAAGATGTTGAGAGTTTTGGTGGATCTGTCAGGTTTGGTGGTGAACGTCCACTCCAGTGTGATGTTGTGGTTCTCCTCTGCCTGATAGCAGGTCTGTGTCACATTGACTACAAATGATCCTGTTGAGGAGACATAGAGGGAAAGAGAGGAGCAGACACACTGAGAACTGCAACTAATCTGTTGTTGAGCTTTATTTGGAGTTCATAAAGTGAAGCTGTAAACTAACCAGAGACACATGAGGTGAGGATGATGAGCAGCAGGATCCTGCAGATCATCTTCTCCATGTGAGAGGAGACAGAGGTGAAGAGTCATCAACACATGAGGTCAAAGGTCAGTCAGTACAGCTAGAAGAAGGAAAATCTACAGTCTGAATTCATTCACTCATCACAACATCTGACCAAAACAACAAGAACTACAAACACTGCAATGGAAGCAACCAGAAGAAAAACCTGCACTTTGATTTCATATTAAGGTTTTCAGAGCTGCAGAATTTGTTTTCTGTCAGAAGGTGGCGCCATGCTACAACTGAAATAAATAAATTAATAAATTAGATTAAACTCATTTTCTCAGAAGTTCTCTCAAATCTTCCAGCTCACCCAGAATAAATATAATAAATGATTCATGAGTATCACTGATACAAAAGCATTTAATTTACTATTTACGCAGAATGTTTCTGTTTATACCTCCAGTTTAGTCTTAACTTTTCTACGATTGATACAAACAAAGTGTCCATAAAATAATAAAATAATGTTTTATTTAAATACTTAAAACAAACAGACATCAAATAAGACAGCTTCCTGTTACGAGAAAATAAAACTTTAACTGCAGTTTAATGGTTGGTGTCAGTGTTTGGTGTTTGAGCTCTTCTAAAACCAAATGCAACCTAGTGACATATAAATAAACTGTATCAACACCACTATTTTACCACAAAGATGACCTCACACCTGACTCGGATGCTAATAATAACAATAGAACATTATTACATTAACAGCCTTCAGCGCAGCATATATTTCACCCACACAGAGTGTCTATAAGAAAAGCACAAACTCACACAGTTAAAATAAAGTGAAAGTGTGCAACAGGTTATCACTCATGAACAGTTGTAATCACATATTATTTTACTCTAACACAGAAACGTTTCCATATTAAATTCAGTCATTATATTACCTTTATGATGTAGTTATATTGTTACAATAAACACAGATCTTACTGGTGCTGTCATCCTCATAGAGATTTGTGTCTCTGTGTGAGAGTGCAGTCTAATGCTCATATTGTTAACTGTTAATCAAAGCACAAGTAGTCAAGTGCATGTATGGATGAGCCCAGTGCTTTTAAATGCACCGAAAGTTAACAGACAGCAAGCTGCTGGTTGAGCTGGTGAACCACAGGTCAAAGTGTGCTGCAGAGGCCTGAGTCTGGGTCCATCTCAGGCCTGCTCATTCCTCTTCACTCTGTCCCTGCTTTCCTGTCTTATTTGTGCACTGTTCAATGAAATAAAGGCTAAAATGTTTTTTAAAAAAATCAATATTTAACAGACAAAATAAAAATAAATGATGCCCAGAAACACGGTAAAGTTTAACAAAGATAAAGTACATGCTAATGTTGTCTCCTCTTCTTTCAGCTGGACTCTGTTTCTTACCTTTAACCACTTGATTTATCTCTGAAGTGCACAATGACTCCGTCCTGCTGCAGTTGTGTGGATCAGCTTAAGTGTATATATGCGAGCACGTCTCTGTCTTTGCGACTGAGTATGAGAATGAGTAATAGCTGCCACTTTGTAAATGCTGACCTAAAATTAAAAATATATTTTGGTCATCATTATTTCCTGTTCCTCAGTGCAGTGTGCATGTTTACCAGAAAACAGTGACCTCTTTACACACTGACTACAGATGTTCTGTCAAATATAAAGGGCTACATCTCACTCTGGTGTATGTAAAGGACCAGTTCATCAAATTTACCAAAGGTAAAGTTAGATTGGATGCTAATTGGTTTTGAAAAAAAGTGGAGATGTCATGAGCTAA